CATTTAAAGAAACATGACAGTGGGAGCAACTCAAAATAGACTTTTGGATCCCAAGGTAAATAACTAACTTTGTTCAACAAATGGGTTATGGAACATATAAAATCACCATAACAACAAATATATTCTCCCATTTTCTCATCTTGTCCCCTTATTCCACGGAGGTAATTGATTCTTCTTGCACTGGATACTCTCTCAAAGAGATTTATGGAAAAGAGAAAGGAAAAAATAACCTACAGGGAGTTGCTGATGGTTGAATGTAGAGATTTGGTTATGCACATGTAAATTTTGTCGAAACATTTGAGAGCAAGCAACTTGTCATCCCAACATTTGGGGGGTGCAAGTTGTCATAAAAGTAAATTACATGCATTTTTATAGTTTAGCATGATTTTTCTCCTATAAATTTTCTTGCAAAACAAACACTAGAAAGTGGATTTTCTCACAAAAAATTTCTCAGCAAACAAACACATTATAATTAACTGAGAAAATAAATTTTCCTCTTCTCATCCCATCCTTTCTCAGCAATCAAACAGACCCTAAAGATGTGAGGAGATTAAGTAGGGTGTTCATCTCCTCACATCTTTAGGGTCAATTGCATTGCCAATGGGATAAGTACGGTGTTCACAAATATCCAGGGTTATGGGGGTAAAAAAGGTTGGCTCTCCCTCAAACTACTTAGGTTTACCTGCAGGTTTAGGAAAGTTCAAAAAAGAGTATTTTAATTACATTTGTGAAAGAATGGAGGCCAAATCAAAGGGATGGAAAACCAATTTTCTTTTTCTTACAGGAAAGGAGGTGTCGATAAAAGCAATGTTAATGGCAGTACCAGCCTATACAATGTCAGCCTTCCTCACTCCAATAGGAATTTGTGAAAAAATTTAAAAGAATTCAAAGACATTTTTTTGTGGGGGGAGAATAGTAATCAGAAAAAGGGTTAACTGGGTGAGCTGGAGCAATATCTGTAAAAGCAAATTCTCAGGAGGGTTGGGGTTCAAAGACCCTCATCTTTTCAACCTAGCTCTCCTATCAAAGCTCGCTTGGAGGTTCTTCACAAATAAGGACAGCCTATGGGGCAAAATTATAAGGGGCAGGTACCTAGGGGATAAGAATTTTTGGAGTTATAAAGCCCCCAAGTTCCTCTTGGGGATTTAGAAGCATTTTGGCAAGAAGAAAGGTGTTAAGGGATGGGGCATGCTGGAGTGTGGCCATAGGAAAGGAGTTGTCTTTGTGGGAGGACCTGTGGATTGATGGAATCCCTCATTTCAAACCAATGGGTCCTCAACCCAGATATAGTGAGAAAGGTAAAGTAGCTGATTTGATAGATATGCAAATCATGAACTGGGACTATAGAAAGTTACTTGAAGTCTTTGACCATAATACCATTGGCAACATAAGTAAAATTGAAATTCCTAGGCTTGGGGGGGCGGGGAGGATATTCTAATGTAGAAGCCAGATCCAAAAGGTAAGTTCTCAGTTAAATCAGCTCATTAGAGTCTAGCTAATAAAATGCAGCCAGCTATTCAAAGCGTAGTCCAAAGCCCCTCTGGCAGCAAAATTTGGAAGAAAATTTGGGCCCTGAAAATCCCTCAGAAGATAAAGCATTTCATTTGGAAATGYTGCCATAATAGTATAGCTGTGAAGCAAGTCTTAGTGAGAAGGCAGGTAGGAACTGAAGACCTTTGTCCAATCTGTGGTAGAGTATCTAAATCTGTTATGCATACCCTGTTTATGTGCGGTCATGCTAGATCAGTTTGGTTTGGCAGTGAATTAGCCTTTCACATGGACACTTTCATCTCTTTTAACTATTTCTATGATTAGTGGGAATGGTGGATTAGTCAGGATCAGCTTCTGTCTTGTGTGGGTGATGATGCTCTGGAATTATCTGCATTGTTCTGTGAAATATATGAAAAGCCATAAATGGCTTCATCTTTGATTCTGCATCTCCCAACCCTTATGTTGTTCGTAGGTTGATGATGGAAGTGATGAGAGTTTCCCTTCCAATATCAATAGACTGTTCTTAGCCTAAAAAGATGGTGGACAAGCCTTTTTTGCAAAGCTAGATGGAGTGTGAAGGTTGCATTGCTATGACTGATGGAAGTTTTGGAGCTGGTAGAAGCGCCTATGGTTTTTGGTTTTCTATTGATAGAGGGCATTTCTTTTTTGCTAAGTCTAGACCTTGCAAAGTTACTTCTGCTCTCTATGCAGAGGCCACAACAGTTCTTGAGTGTGTTTTGTTTATTTATGGTATGGGCCTAAGATTTGTTAATATTTTCTGCAACCCCTCTACTATTGTTTCTGTCATCGCCAGGAACTCTTTTGATTGTGATCCTGTTATTTGGCCGATCCTTCACAACTTGTATGCATTGTCTGACTTTTCCTTGAAGGTAAGTTTAGCAAAAAGGGACTCTATTGAAGCAGCACATAGACTAGCTGCCAAGGGCCAGATTGGTGTTCAGGAATTTTGGGAGCAACCCCCACAATGGATGCTTCCCCTCTTTAGTGCTGAAGATGTTTTGCAGGTGCCTGACCTGGTGGGAGGGGTTTTTGGCCCTCCTTAGTTTTTATGGTTTTTTGGTTCTCTTTTTCTATTGCTGCGTTTTTATTTGTTTTATCAACCAAAAAAAAGTAGGGTGTTCATTTTCAACCCAGAGCGATGCCTAGAAAATTTTAGGCAAATTTTCAAATCAGGTCTGGCCCGGCCCATGATCACCTTTACAAAATTATTATTGTTAATAATAATAATAATAATAGTAACAACTTGAACAAGACAAAATTTTCAAAACCTCCAGAGAGCTGCTATTAATGAGTTTTATTGTCTGAAACTCACTTTTTATTAGATTTTTGTTAGATCACCATTAGTGGCCATTAATAGAAGTTATCTATGAAAGCAAGTATGGGATAGGCCTAGGCTCGACTTTAAAATTTGTAGAACTAGTGTGGGCCCTAGCCCTTCATGGGTAATTTTATTATTAAAAAAGACATTTAATAAGCTTCATTGGCCATTCAAGGGTAGTTTAGTCATGTAAAATACTTAAATGCTTACATGGACAACTTCTATTAATGGTCAATAACGATGATCTAATGGAAATCTTAATGAGATGAACATTTGGACAATAAAACTCACTAACAAGGGCTCTTTGAGGGTTTTGAAAAGTCATGGTGAGTTTTAAAAAAATGTGAAAGAGTCATGGTCAGGTTGTCTGACGGGTCAGCCTAGCCTGATACGTTATTTGTTGAGCTTGGACATTATTTCAGGCCTGTGGGCTCAGGCTCCAACCCAAAACACTAGGCCTTACTTTATTTTTAGGCCAGGCTTGGGCTTTCTCAACAGAGCTTGGCTTGAGCCACAGCCCAATAATATTTGATATAACAAAAAACATGTTTTTTGTATAATAAAAATATATATAATATATTTTTTCTTTGTTATTTTTCTCTTTCTTTGGAAGCCATAGTGAGATTTTTCAACATTTTTAGGTTTTAAGGTCATTTAATAGGAATAAGTCGGTTTTTTTATTGAGTAAAAAACAAAAAAAAATATTTTCCCTATTTGTTGATCAAGCTTTAGGCTCAGGCCTGGGCTTTGGGATTTAAGCAAGGTTGGGTTTGGGCTCAAGATTTAGGCCCAATGGTTGGGCCAAGCTCAGGCTCAGGCCTAGATGTATTTTTTTGTTATTAAAGAGGCAAAGCCCGACCCAACTGAGGGGGGCTAGGGATGCAAACAGATCAGATCAAATTCCAATTAGGGTATATCCAAATCCGATCTGACACTATCAAGGGGAGATCCAATCTGATCTCAAAAACGTGGATTTGAATTTGACTCCAACAAGATTGTCAGATTTTCGGATATAATCTGATCCGATATGATTTAAAAAAAAAATAACTAATTTAGTAAAAGAAAAATAAAATATAACAATTTAAATAAAAAACACAAAAAATACAAGTATCTATTCAACTAATTTGGTCATATATATACATCTTTTTTATAAAAAAATAAATAATATAATAAATTTACAAAAATACAATACAAATAATATATTTATAAATAAATAATATATATCGAATCGACTAAGAATGATCTGAATCCAATACAAAGATCCGAATTCTACAAAATAAAATCGGAGCTCGAATCATGACCCGATCCATTTGCACCCTGGGCGGGCGGGGGTATTTTTAATTTACCATTTTACCCAAAAAACATTCTTCCTCATAAAAGCTTGGCCTGGTGCGCATTGCGCACTGCGGCGCAAAATTATAGCATGCGTGCATATAGTATAAAAACTAAGTAGCTAACAACCAAAGATTTTCCCGACTTTGCTTCTGTCTAGGGTTTCAGCATCTTTCGGTCTGCTACAGTCGGCCTCCGCTTTACCCCAGCCACAATGGTACATGAATCTTTCTCTCCTTTGTTCTCTTCTGTCAATGTAGAAATACCTCATTAATTCTACTTAAATTTGATTTTTATATCAAAGAAGACATTTACATTTTCTACAATCTTCATCTGTATTTATGGTTTTCTATTCTTTTACCCAAAACAAAATGATTCTGTACACGATGATATGAACTATGAAACATGGACTTGGTAGATCTTTTAGAGTGATTTCAAACGACCTAGAAGCTCTAGCTGTTGAGTGCTTACTTGCTTCTATATGACAAAAGATGAAGCAAAAATAAAAATAAATAGAGCCTGATCCTCCTCAAAAGATAAGATAAAAAAGTGTCAAACGCGTAATCTGCTAAAGGAAAAGAATTAGGATCCTTAACTTTTTGGGTGTGTGAACTCCGAATAGTAGTTTTGGAGATTATGTGGCTGAATGTCATTTCATTAGATCTTTGAGCTTGTTATACTTGGTCCATGATTGGTAATTTGGATTTCTGGTATTTGGGTGAATCAGGGCCGGATGCCTGTATCATTGTTTTTGTGTGAACTCCGAATACCACCTTGTCTTTTCCAGATGCCCGTATCAATTATTTTATTATCTGCTTAACATGACTTCCTGTATATTAGGGTACCTGCTTTGTGCGAGGTGGTTGATTCAATTGGGAGAATGTCATTTTAAAACATGGGCCCTCAGCCCTCTCTTTCGGTTGTAGGCATTTTCATGGCCACTTCTATCGAATAGTCTCTAAGGCTTCTCATTACATTGTTGTTCTTGCCCCTTAACGGGTCTCTTACCACTCCAAGCACTGGTCCTGATGGAAGAAGGGGAATTAATAGACTTAATAGAAGCAATTCAAAGTTGATGACTGATGAGTATCTGATAGAAGTAATAGGATATGCAATCTATTCAGTCAAGTATTACATTTAAAATTTGTGATAAGACGGTGCTGAAAGGTTAATTTAATGTGGGGCTTTAAGCCTCTGAGAATGTTGGCGGAAAACTGATCTTTGGTAAAATTAATGTCTTCTTTAGTTAACCATTTAATAGATTAAGTAGAAGAAATAGAAAAGATGAATGACTATTTGACAAAGAGTTAATTTGGTCTCTAATTTAGTTGCAAATTATCCATCATATACCACAATTTGATCTAAACGTTGCATGCCTAAATGACTGACTTGCTTAACCAGGGACAGTGCCAATTATTCATTAAGGCAGTGGTTAGCTATATAGCATTTTAATCATATTGTCTTAAGCTTATATGCTGTGATGTTTAATTTTATATACCTGAGACTATTTATCCTTGGTAAATGTCTTACTAATCGTTCTCATTAACAAGTTAAGCAAGAGTTCAGGTCTGATCCCTTTCTATAGGGTTGGTTGTTGGGATGAAAAGGAGAAAAGAATGGGATGGGGTTTTGACACAAGGACCAATATATGAAATTAGAATTTTTTATTAAATAAACGATATAGTATTTCTCTTTTATTGTTTTTAAATGTGCCAAGTTTCTTACCACTTTTATTTCTTTAAGTTGATAGATAATTAGATATTCTTTAGTGCTGGTTGACAAGGTAATCAATAGTTGATGACAACTATGCAAATATATGCCAGACAGCTGTTATGGTTAGAACTGCAAAGATGTATGACAAGTCTTTGCATTATTGTTGCCATGTTGTGTTGTACCATAGTGATGATCTTTACGTTAATAACATGTATAGTATTGCTTGTTTGCTTCACCATTATAACAAGGGGGATATATGCATGTGAAAACCTAACTTCATATGTCAATTGCCTTAATTGTTATTTTGTAAACTGAACTTACAGTGTTAAGATTTTTTACCCAGATTTGAGTTTTAATGACACTCTCGCTCTGATGCAGACGAAGCGAACAAAGAAGGCAGGCATTGTTGGGAAATATGGTAAGTGCAATTCTTTTTAATAGAAAACTTATCTTTTCAAGTATGGACTTTGTCCAACATATACCCTATCCTTTTTTCTCAGCTTTTAGTTTCTATGTTAGACCAGAAGGTCCATCATCAGTTGGTACTTTTTCAGTGCTGATAAATGCCTACTCATCAAATCTCCTGGTGGAGCTAACTAGGCTTACTGAAAGTAAATAATTCATGGTTGATAAATCTTGTTGAACTCTTAGCAATTGAGCATTGTTTTCCCCACTCCCCTCTTTTTCCTTCTTTGTTGATTTTTGGGCAACAAAAATGGTCTAGATCAGATGTGCTCTCTCTCTCTCTCTCTCTCTCTCCCTCTCCCTCTCCCTCGCATTTCAATTTTTCCATTGCAATGTAATGAGGTACTACATGCTAGATCTGTTGTTTCTGGGGTCACAGTAGCAGATAGGGTCCATTGACATACACCACATGGGGAGCTTGTATTTCTGCAGGTTTGAATCCTTTTATCAATGTGAGTGGTACTGACTGACCACCTAGACTACATACATGGTCATTGGTGATAACTGGCTTCTCTAATTGAGTCTGATATATAGTACATTTATAACTGTACTCGGTAATAGTGCTTATTTGATCTTTATTTCAGGTACCCGTTATGGTGCTAGTCTTCGGAAACAGATTAAAAAGATGGAGGTTAGCCAGCATAGCAAATATTTCTGTGAGTTTTGTGGGAAGGTATTTCTTTTCTTTCAATCTTACCCAGGCATTCAGTTACGTTGTTGTTTCAATTTAATGATGTCAAATGCAAGTACTTATTCTAATGGATGGTGAGATATTTCAGTATGCAGTGAAGAGGAAGGTTGTTGGAATTTGGGGCTGCAAAGACTGTGGCAAAGTTAAAGCAGGCGGTGCTTATACATTGAAGTGAGATTCTGATACCTTTACCTTTCCCAACCCCCACCTCCTCCCTTCAGAAAGGGTAAATTACATATTACCCCYTAGAGTTTGGGGGTAGTGACACTTAGCCCCCTGAGATTTCATTTGCAACGAAGACCCCCTTAACTTTTGGATTCCAACACTTAACTCCCTTGTTAGCATTCCGTTAGCTTAGAAAAAGATTCTTGTGTGACTGTCATGTGCTTGTGAAACATCTCTAAATGCCCAAACTACCCTTTCCTTAATTTATAGGACCATTTTGCCTTTTCTCTTGCATATTTATGTTTACTTGTGCTTTTGTTTGATTAGGGTTTAAGTTAAAGTTGGGCATTTTAGTAATTTGAAAGGGCATTTTAGTAATTTGAAAGGGCATTTTAGTAAATTAACTATGACAATCAAGTTTAATGAAGAAGGCCAAAGTGTTTCAATCTGAAAGTTCAGGGGGTCTAAGGCTGCATTTGGCATTCCAATGCCCCTATGAACACTGAATTTTTAATTACAAAAGGGAGACAAGTCCTTCAAATAAGGAATGCCAAATGCAGCCTTAGTCACATATTAAATTTTGGGGGCTTAGGTGGTAATATCTAATTTACAGAAAAATGACGATAAAATTTTACTCCCCTTAACATTGTAATTGCCTTTTCCTTTCTGATACTCATTATTCTTTTTCCCCAATTTTTCTTTGATGCAGCACTGCTAGTGCCGTGACTGTTAGAAGCACCATTCGCAGGCTGAGGGAGCAAACTGAGGGCTGAGACCCTTCGCTCTTCTTTACCTTTGCTTTTTTTTTTTTCCATTTAGCAACGTTGAAACTTTTGTAGGGATTTTTTCTATTTAATTTATGAGAATCCGGCTAGGTTAGAACTTAGATGCCAACTTGATGAAGCTATTGGATCTAATTTAAATTGTTGTTGAGGGAGGGGCTTGTGAGTATATGGCTTGTATTGCCATTGTGTGAACATTCTCAAGTCAGTGTTGTGAGATCAGGGTTTTTTTTTTTGTATTTTGCAGGTGATAGAAATCTGAATTTAAAGTAGCAGCAATCAGATTTAACACATTTATCTATACCATTATCAGATTTAACACATTTAGGGTAAAAGACTTAATTTCCCATGAGGTTTCTTTTAAATATTTACACCTCTCCTCTATTTTGAAACCTCCCCTGCGCCCTTATATTTGATATTTCCATTAAAATGACATTTTCCACGTTCATTGTACTTCAAAATTTCAAATAAACCCACTGAAACTAAAACACCAAAATTACTGAGTATCAGAAGTCCCATTTATCTGAATTCATTTTTGCTGCAAGGGATAGGCAAAAACATTGCCACAAGCCTCGATATTCACGGCTTTGCTTGCTGCAACACCAAAGACACTAACTGCAGAAAACAATTCATAAGATTGGCTTTGCTTGTTTTGTTTGATTCTGGTGCAATGCCAAAATCGATTTTGCTCATCTCATATCTGGTGTTGCATTAGAATTAATTTTGCTTGTCTCATTTCTAAGTTACCGTGCTTCTAAACCCAAGCAAATCCATCTCATATTGATGCATATCTCAGCCGCCTGGTCTTTCTTTTACTCTTTAGCTGTCTCACTAACGTTATTGCATTGTATGAGATTCAAATACAAGTCTAATGTATTGGGAATCCATTCCGGAAAACTCAAAAAACCTCTTGGGGGCCTTCAGCTGGTTTTCTTCCTATCCCAAACGAGCAAACAGAAGGTTTGATCTTTGATTTATTTTCAGAATCACAAGGGACTTCTCGTTTCAAACAGACCATTTAAAAAAAAATCCCGAAGGTTTGGATAAGGGGCAAAGTTTGGTTCTTCAAAAATTTACTCCTTTATATTACATGCAAATGGATCTTAATAAGTAGCTAACAGAGGCTGATGATGTCACCCCATAAGGGGGTTGGTTATAGCCCGTTTCGAAAATAGGAGCGAGGTTTTATTTTTTATTGAAAACATGAAGGGAGGTTCAAGTCTTTTACCCTAAATTTTATTATATAATGTTAGATTGTATCTTTATTCTGTATGTGTACATGTGTATAACATTTGCCCTTACACTAATTTTATGAACAAAAAAAACTTCCAAATCATACAAAATCCAAAGATAAATATTGTGTGAGAAATTGGTTGTGTATGAACTGCTCAATCCCTTTGTGGGTTTACTGCAATCATGGTATTCCTCATTTCCTCAATTTGCACAAACATCAAATTCTACCGTGGAAGACCTAACAGGAAAAGGAGTAAGGACCCTGAATGCCATGAATACGAGCTTTCTGATGAGCTCTAGCATTAAGGATTCGACTTACTACAAAGATCAAATTATCAGTTGCAGAGTATCGGGATGTATAGTATATTAGGATAGAAAACCAGTAAATGTCATGTCACAACTAGATGGAATGAGATTAAGTGATTAACGGCACCATTTAACTGACCTTAACGGTTTCGTACCTGATACCAATAAATTGAAAATCAAAAAATCAAACCGAACTGAGAAAATCGAATTGGAAAATGTGGTTAATCAAAGCTATCGATTTGGTATTTTTGAAAAACTAACGCATCGGTTTGATTTTCGGTTAACCTACATATATATGTATATAATATTTATAATATATTATATATCATTTATTATTTATTATTTATAATATAATATTATACATATATTTATATTATATTATAAATATAAAAAACCAATGAACCGAACTGGTCAAAAACTGAAATTGACGGACCGATTAACTGGTGGTACTGGTTCAGTTTGCAAAAAATTGCCCACGAACCATAGACACCCCTACTGATAGTAAGTATTACAACCATATAATAATGCATCAATTGAGAGAATCCTTTCCCCAATAGTCCATCTTAGTTAGGGGTGCTCACGGTTCGGTTAACCAAACCGTGGGCTAACTTTTGAAACTGAATCGGGGTTACCGGTTTTTGAAAAACTAATAACTGAAATGGAACTGGAGTTGATTGGCTAACCGGTTCGGTTCGTTGGTTTTTCAGTTTTTTATTATTTACAATGTTTATTATAGAAAAATATATAACTATATAATAAAATACTAGAAATATGTATAATATTATATTATATTTTAAATAATAAATAATATATTATAAATATATATTTATATATAATGTGTATTTATTAATTTATAATGTATAGAAAATATATAATACAAATATACATAAATATATATAAATGTATGTATAACGGTCTGTTCAGTTAACTATCAGTTTTCTATTTTGGTTAACCGAAACTGAACCCATACCTTTGGTTTTTTTTAAATATTGAACTAAAACTAAACAGACCAATTTGATTAACCGAATCTTTGGTTCAGTTTCGATCGATTTTTTTTATCAATTCTGTTTTTCAGTTTTTTTTGCTCACCCCTAATCTTAGTGGTATAATTCAAACTCCAGGGCACCGCTCGACTAGAACTTCTCTTCTCTGGTTACCCTCTTCTCCGTGCTATACTTGATGTTGAGGTTTTGGTTGCGAGTTATGAGTTTGCAGTCTTCATTGATTGATTCCCATCTCCACGTAGCTTGCAGCTCTTCTTGATGGTGATCTTTGAATCTCCTTCAAATGTAATTGAGCCTTGAGTCTTAGGGCGGCCCACACCTCGGCAACTGTGATTGTAGTCTTACCAATTGCCTATTGGGCCTATTTTAGCCCTTATGATTTCTCCTTTATTTATTTCTAGCTATGAAATTTATGTAAACTTCATTCTGATTAGGACCTTTCCATTTAATCCATGTCATGTTTTTGGGTATGTCTCTTTTTATTCCATCTTTTGTAGAGTTTGCACTTGATACTCCAGATTTGGGGGGATTGAATTGAACCTCCTATTGTTGAATTCTTTTTTTTCGTTTTATTTTTCCAAAAAAGGTAACTTATTTTTATTTTCCAA